CCCACATCTCCATAATAAATCCGCATATTTATTGCTTTGTGTTCGCAATTCTTTTATACATCACAAATTATACAGGCATTAACAATGAGCCGAGTCATTTGGGAGAGATCAAAGCTATGGCTTAGGATGCTGACTAGATAAAAAGCAGAGATCATTGTGACGGACAAGAATCAGCTATAGAGGTGGGTTTTCAAATTTCTCAATATTGCTCAACATATTGCATTACTGTACATATGACATTCAAAACGAGATCATGTCATTAACAAAGATAACAAGGATGATAATGAAAACGATGATAGACATGCAAGAATAAATTTCCAGAGATAAATGTGATAGATTTTGAAGCTGACTGTAACTAATCTAATCGTAATGCAGTGAAGCAAGCACAACAGAAGAATCGGTCATTGCTTCTTCGGCACTAAATTGGTGAAATTGTACTTACTAGGCAAGAAAAAAAAACCAGATGAATCTCACCTGGTAGTAACCGAGCTCGGAAACATTCCATCGCTGCTGGCTTCACTTTTCTGGCTAGGACTCACTGGACCTTCCGATGATCGTGTGCTGTCCGTTGCTACTTCACCTCCTTTACGATTTCCTTGATACTTCTTCTGGCGAGCTCTTGAGTTCTAAGACACAGAACAATGGTAATGAGGTGGAAAAGCTAAGGTTAGAAATCTCATGCGCTTCTCACTAACCTGGAACCAGACTTGTGTTACTCGTTTACTCAATCCTGTGATATTGGCTATTCGTTCGAGATCAGCTCCATCAGGGTTGCTATCCACTTGGAAGTGTGCCTGAATTGTTGCATTTTCGGAAAATCAAGAGCTTGGATACTTTTAGCAGATCTTCAACCCTAATTGGCAAAATCGCTCTACCTGTAAGACGCTCAGTTGCTCTTCAGCGAACGTCGTACGCACTCGTTTAATCTTTTGTTTTTGCTGGTTCGCTCCTGAAACATCTTCCTAGCACTCTGACTACAGATTCAATATGCGCCAGCTATGGTCCTCCTGCGACGGAGCAAGCCGAAACGAAAACGAATTTACCCGAATCGCCGTCGACCAACTCGACGAAATGTTGCTTACATAGTAGACGATTATCTTGCAGTGCAAATTCTTCGCCAGTGCTTAGTTGCCTGTGAAAATCAAAATAGAACTCAATGAGGTTATAGGGTTCTTTTTCAAAGGATTCAAAGCTTTCACCTTTTACACTGAGCGCAGGCAAAGCAGGCC